AGAAATGGTAGAGTCTTCAGTGACAGAGAAAGGAGTGTGGGGGCTGTGTGGCAGTGTATTCTTAATAGAGCTAGACATTGGGTTAAAGTCTCAAATCTGTTCTCAGATTTCTCTGTTGATGACTTGTGGAGAAACTGGGGAGCTGTACCTAGAAGTTCTACTGCAAGGAACAGACCAGTGGTAGCTTGGGAACCTCCTGATGAAGGCTTTATCAAGTTGAAATTTGATGGCAGCAGCCTAGGGAACCCAGGTCCAGATGATATAGGAGGGGTTTTCAGGAATAATGAAGGACATATTTTTGCTGTCTTCTCAGGCCCGATTGGAATAGGGGACTCAGGTTTTGTAGAGTTTGAAGCAGTCTTGCAAGGAGTACAGATTACTAGACAACTAAATTTTGACAGACTGCTCATTGAAGGTGACTCTAAATTGATAATAGGGTGGCTGAAGGAACCAGAACCAGTGAGTTGGAAGTATAAGGAGTCTATGAAAAAGTTCAAATGGCTGGTTAGAGACATGACAGTTCTTGTTCAATGGGAAAGGCGGTCTGCACATGGGATGGTAGATTACTTTGCAAAGGTGGGGGTTTTAAAGTCTGAACTTTTTTTGGCTCAGTTGTAATTTGGGTTGTTGTAGGTTGGGATCGCACCTTGTGTCCCTATTGGGATGATTTGTCTTGTAATTCTCAATGCAATCCCTTTTTTATTAATAAAATTCTATCATTCATAAAAAAGAGGTAAAAAAATTTAAGGACTAATAATTTAACAATGAATATGGCATTAAACAGAACAGGCTGACAAAATAGGATTCATGTAGCCAATCCCATATAGCTGGAATAAGGCTTGGATGATGATGATATTCTAACATTTTTTTCCTGGACCAATAGGCCATGGGAACTCAACAAGATAAGAAATATTAGCAATACTACAAGGGTTGGAGTGGAAAAAATTCTCGACCATACAAATTTGTTAATTGAGGGGGATTCCAAAGTGGTGATGGGCTGGCTGGATTCAAAAGGAAGAAAGGACTACTTGGTAGTACAAAAATATTATAAGGGAGATAAAGGAGCTTAAAAGCAACAAAATGCTTTGTGTTTCTTGGGTCTATAATCAGCAAATAGGCTGGTAGATGCTTTGATGAAACAAGGGTTGGGAAGAGAATTTATTTTTGAGTGAGGGGAGTAACTCTTGATTTATAAAGTTAGTGAAAGGCCATCACAATCTCAGGGATGCTTATCATATGTAAATAATTCTTTCTAGATTTCACTAATTTTTTATTTGTTATTCATCGAAAAAAGGATGCTCATCTATATAAATTATGTAAAGACTTTTGGGGTGATAAATGAATAAATTTGAATTGCTCTTGCAATTTTATGGCTTGGTGCTGACTCCAAGTTCAAGCTTATGAAGGTTATTATTCCATAAGAAATCAAGGTAGGAGGGAAAGCGAGGAAGAGAGAAGATGAAAGGTTTGAGGCCAAAAAGCAAGGTTGGTGGTGCCTATAATCTTATTTATATTAGGGCAGAATACCTTGCCTTTTTTCAAAAAAAAGGTTGAATGCAATTAAAAGTAAAAAGACAAGAGTGCCCTTGTGGCACATATAATGATAATTACAACATTACAACACTCATTCTCAAGTTGGGTTATTGTGCCCAACTTGTCACAAAAACCATTGTGCTGCAAGTGATGGAGGCCCTTTGTAAAAGCTTTTGCAAGTTGTTCTCCACAACTGACATATGGAGTACATACCTCTCCTCCTAGTTTCTCCCCACTAAAATGTTTATCAACTTAATGTGTTTTGTTCTATCATGGAGGACTGGATTAACTGCAATGTTAATGGTAGCCTTGTTATCACAATAAAGTGACATGGGACTATCTACTGTAAACCCCAGTTCACTCAATAGGCATGGCTCTGTATTTTACCTTTTTACTAGACTTAGCCACAATACTTGGTTTGCTCCCATAAAGGTGAAATATCCACTAGTGGATTTTCTGTTACTTACTGATCCAACCTAGTTAATATCAATATAAACCTCAACCTTTAAGTGCCCATGCTTCTTGAACAACAGACCTGTCTCTAGGAATATCTTTAGGTATCTAAGACCTCAGACACCTACAACATAAGCAATGTTAGGCCGGGTCATTGATAGGTATAGAAATCTTCCCATAAGTCTCTGGAATTTTTTTTATCAATAACTGAACATTTTATTAATGTCAATTAGGAGTATATATTACAAGCATTAGTGGCAGAGATAAAAAGATTTTATCTCCCATACAGCTATCCTTACAATTGTGCCCAAAAGATTTGTTCCCTCTCCACCCCTTGCTTGTTCATCAGCCATACTATTAGCAGTCCTTTGGACCCATTGAAATTTCATTTCCATCTTTCTAGACAACCATGAGAACTTTTTTAGCTCGTTTCCGTACTGCCATAAAGCTACCTCCCCACTTTGCAACCACTCCATCACCAGTTTAGAGTCTCCCTTGATAATTAGTTTATTTACATTCATCATTCTTGCTCTTTGTACCCCTTCCACACCAACCATGACCTCTGCTCCTACTCCAATAGGTGCTGAAAATAATGCTACTATAACCCCTCTCTCATCTCTAAAATGCTTCCGATCCCTGAGGATCTCTGGAATTGTTTGACATATCATATAGGTTCTCCACTGCAATCACCTAGTTTGTGATTATGGGGGCATCAACAGGTGAGACATGATACTTGAGAGAAGGGTGCCAAAAAGCAAGTATGGTGGCGCCTAGGCTAGAATCTTATTTATATTAGGGAAGCATACAATTAAAAGTAAAAAAGACAAAAATGCCCTTGTGAGTGACACACATAATGATAATTTCAGCATTACAACAAAAGTGTTGACTCCGACAGGAACCTTTAGTGCTGCCTATCTATAGTTTACTACAAGTAGTTTAGTTTGTTGAATGTTGAATCTCTATCTTAATATTCCAGGTTTGCTTTTTTATTGTTCTAATGTTTTTGCGTTTTTTGTATTATCTCCTCAACTTCTTCATGCCTCTTACTTTCCCACCATTTTTTTTTCTTTCTTTCCCTCTGCATTTCCTTCTACTTTATGCAATCCTCTCTACATCCTCACCAGCTTTTTTTTTGGTATGCTCTATTAAGGTCACTTTCATCTAATTTTCACTTTTGCTTCATTTGTCTAGTGATTATTCAATTTCTTTAAGTTGTGTCCAGCCTAATTTGTTCGGCCAGTTAAGTTTCAATTAGCAACCTGAGGGCTTTGTGGGCCTGTTTCCAGCTTGCTTAGGGCCCATGCCAGCCACCTAATTAGCTTCTGTTTGGGTGGGTCCTGCATTAACACAACAGGGTGTCCATAAGATTAAGCATCAGTCACATGTCTATTGAAGGGAGTCCACGTGTCATGATATTAGATAGTATTTTTGAATAATGGGATAAGATTTGAAGGTGGTTAGTGGGTAAGTAAAATGGGGTGAGTAAAAGTGGGACACGTTATTAGTAACGTATAGGGATTAATTTGATTTTCTATAATTGTATGTGAAACATCTATAGTGCTTGTGTTTAATGCCTTATTTGTAGGGGGGGGGTTAGTTAACTAGAGAGTCATGGTAATTTGAGAGTTAATTGGAGTCTATATATATTCTTGTAAGTATCATATGAGGATATCAATTGAAGAATTTTCTTTAGAACCGTTTGGTTTTTATCGGTGGTCTCTTGTCTCTCTCTAAGTAGGCGAAACTCACGTTATGTCCCTAACCGGGATCGTGGCAGCATCCAATGTTCAATAATTTATTAAGTGATTGATCCACATTTTCACTTGCTTATACTTGGAATAACAGTGTTAACAGATCTAGGTTTAGTGTGAGATCAGCTAAGAAAATAGAAAGAAAAAGAGAAGAGGAAACAAAGGAAGAGAAGGAGAAGAAGAAGAGAAAAAGAAGAAAAGGAGAGCAGAATTAATGGTTCTGCTGCTCCCACTAATTGTTATTTATATGAGTCATTAAAATAAGTTACGATGACTATAAGTACCCCTGCCGCCTGTAAGTAAGGGAAAACCAAATAATTAACAGTAAAACAGCAACAAATAATATGGGGCCACACATAAAAAAGACTAAGATTTATCTACTGTGTCTCTACACTTATATCCTGTTCATGTTTTTTTGGAGAACTTTTATCCAGAGAGGCTATAAACTTCTTAGCATCAACAGAGGGATGTAGTTCGGATATATAACCAGCACTGGAGGCTCTTTTAGATTGTTGTTTTATCTGTATAGATGGCTTTTATTCCATAATTGGAGAACAAAGATTTATACATTGTATACGTGACTCTCCTGGTGCCATTAGATTGATCATTGGAGATGGCAGGATTTAAGATCAGTGAATAGGTCCATTGCAACCTGGGTTTCCAGGTTTCAAATCTTGGAAACAGCCTCTTTGTGTATCCACAGGGGTAACACCACAGACATCTGTCCCTCTCTAGTCCCCGTATTGGTGGGAGCCTCATGCACTGAGCTGTCCTTTTCAAATAGGTGACCATAATTATGTGAAGTACTGTTCCCACCCACTATACAATGCAACCTAAAGGTGAAAAATAGGATAAACAAACAAACTAAATTAGTGCGATTTAATATATCAATTTGTGATCCTGTAAAGGCATAAACACTATTGCAATGAGGAATTATATGGAGCCATGGAGGTATTGAGGGACATGGTTTGCTATCCTCAATACAAGGTATCTACCCTCTCCTCTTTTTGTTTCAAGTTATATGGTTCAATCAAAACCAAGTATGATTGAAAGGGAAGTTATTTTATACAAAAATGCCAGGACTTAATATATACTATTTTGGATGCCTGCATACGTCTTTGCACCCATTAACTTATAGTAGCATGTCAAATACAAACATCAAGGATTTGAAATTATGGTGTTTTCTAGTTAAGGGGCAACCTTAACATGTTTTTAGTGTTCTCTGATATTGTTTATCAATTACACACTCTTGTATTGGCTCAGGAACACAGCGGCTTCCACGCCTTGTGGGCCTTTCCAAGGCACTTGAAATGATGCTGGTATATTCTCATCCTTTGTTGTACAAGTTAGCCTTTAGTTCTTCTCCAGTCATTAAATTTATTTTGTAACATGCTCTCTCTCTCTCTCACTCACTCTCTCTCTCTCTCTCTCTCACTCTCACACACACACACACAACAGATGTCAAAATCAGTTAAAGGGGAGGAAGCCTATTCCTTGGGTCTAGTGGATGCCATAGCTCCACCTGATGAATTGATAGATACCGCTCGCCAGTGGGCCCTAGATATTTTTGAGTGTAGAAGACCATGGGTTTTAAGTCTTTACAGGACTAACAAGCTAGAGCCTCTTGGGGTGGCCAAGGAAATACTCAAGTTTGCAAGAGCCCAAGTCCGAAAACAAGCTCCTAATCTCAAGCACCCATTAGTTTGCATTGATGTTATAGAAGAGGGTATAGTTTCTGGATCCCGTGCTGGTCTTTTGAAGGTATAGATCCTCTCCATTGTTCTCTATTCCACACTATTGGTAAGTATGCAGCTGTATGATAACTCGATATCACATCTGGCTTATACAGGAGGCAGAGGCTTCTCAGGGACTTATTCGATCCGACACTGCCAAGAGTTTGGTCCATGTATTCTTTGCTCAGCGTGGAACAACAAAGGTTTTTCTCCTATAACAAAATCCTGCTGTAGCCTATAGTTAGTAAGAAATTGTCTTTCTACTCCTAGCTTGGTAAAACTGATTTTCTTTGAATATATCCTTAATGAACCGCTGCCTTGAAACTTTATCTTTTCCTCGGTAACATTCATAAGCTTGTTCATTGACTTGGTTTGGTTAGGCTTTGAGTAAATAACTGCAAATTCCATTTTGCATGCATGAATTTCATTCCTTCTATCAATCTGGATTCTGGACAAATTGAACTTGGAAACCGGAACACTGGCATCCAAGTTGACACAGTGTTTCTGGAAAGTGACCAGTTTCTATTTGGGAGTTGATAAAGTGTATATGTTTGTAAATAGATTAATGATCTTCATCAGTCATTTACATTTTACCACTTAAATATGGTTTATGCTTCTTCAGGGTTTAATTGCATTTTAATCCTAGTTTACCAATCCCAACTCTCCTTTCAACATGCAATCTGGAAAGACTATAAGAATGGTAAAACTCCTTTATTCAAACTCTCAACAGGTTCCTGGAATCACTGATCTGGGTTTGGTACCAAGGAGAATAAAGAAAGTTGCAATTCTTGGAGGAGGATTAATGGGTTCAGGAATTGCAACTGCATTGATTCTTAGCAATTATCCTGTGATCCTGAAAGAAGTAAATGAGAAATTTCTACAGGCTGGGATTGATAGAATAAAAGGTGAGACATTTTTTAAAGAGGATAGGAAAATTTTCTGCACATTAGGGCCAAATGTTATGTTAGAGTATTTGGTGTCAATTCGTGTTCTTTACTTGTGCAGTCAGTGTACTATTATTATTTAATTCAAAGACCTTGTCTCTCTGTGTGCATGGTCTTCTCTTTTCTAATTCATTTGAACTTAACATATGAACACGAGTTATTCAGCCAATTTGCGAAGTCGTGTAAAGAAAGGGAAAATGACTGAAGAGAAGCTGGAAAAAACACTCTCTCTTATCAAGGGTGTTCTTGACTATGAAAGCTTTAAAGATGTGGACATGGTTATAGAGGTAAGGTCAAGTCATGATTAGGTTTTTGGTTTTGGCAACCATTTTATTTACTCATTTATACTTGGAACAGGCTGTTATTGAGAATGTCTCTTTAAAGCAGCAAATTTTTGCTGACCTGGAAACATATTGTCCACCCCATTGCATACTTGCCAGTAACACATCCACAATTGACTTGAACTTGATTGGTGAGAGGATTAAGTCTCAGGATCGGATTGTTGGAGCACATTTCTTCAGGTAATTCTGTTACTGTATTTCATGGTTTCTTTATCCTTCGTTTGATCCAACCATGGGCATGTGGCCAATCATGCTTCTGTGCAGTCCGGCTCATGTCATGCCACTACTGGAAATAGTTTGTACCCAGAAGACGTCTCCTCAAGTAATTGTTGACTTACTAGATGTTGGGAAGAAGATCAAGAAAACCCCAGTTGTGGTTGGGAATTGCACCGGCTTTGCTGTCAACAGGATGTTCTTCCCTTACTCACAAGCAGCTATCTTACTTGTTGAACATGGTTCAGATGTCTATCAGATTGATCGAGCCATAACTAAATTTGGAATGCCAATGGGACCTTTCAGGTATTTAATAGATCAAGGTTTTACTGTTTCCTGAAATGTGCTCCCCCCACCAACACACACACACACACACAAAGTTGTCTAATTGCCTTGTTGGGTTTTCTTACCGTTTTTCTTTATCCATACAGAATGGTTGATCTGGTTGGTTTTGGAGTTGCAATTGCAACTGGTATGCAGTTTATTGGGAGCTTTCCTGAGAGATCGTATAAGTCAATGCTAATCCCTATAATGCAAGAGGATAAGAGAGCAGGTAGAGATGAGGTTGTGTGAAAAATTTAGGGACTTAAACTTATTTTAGGATAAATTGCCCCTCTGAAAAGTTTTTTTTTTTTAATTTTTATATCTTATGGTACTTGTTTCAGGTGAAGCCACTCGGAAGGGTTTCTATGTCTATGACAACAAGCGCAGGGCTAGCCCGGACCCTGAAATAGGAAAATATGTAGAGAAGGCAAGGCACATCTCTGGTGTGAAAGTTGACTCTAAGGTTTCTCTCTTTCTCCCCTCCCACTCTCCTTCACAATATAGGCACAGAGATACATATGCATGAATGAATGTGAACGCCATATGTGAGCATACACCACAAATTGTGCAAAATAAGTGGCTAGCAAAAGTTATCTTTTAATTCAAATATATTTTATTGAACTGTGAGAGATCTCTCACTTAGTGGATTACCTACAAATTGATCAAAATACTTTAATAATGAGTTACATCTAGAAGTGAATCCCAAAGTTAGACTGGTCTGATTCTTCTGCCACCTGATATATCTTTAGGTATTCATAATTTGCATTATTCCATGAAAAACCAGCCTTAATTCTTCATTGATGAATCGGTGTGTCAGGCATATGGGGTTAACATAGGATGAGTTTGAGATCCCCGAAGTGTGGACTTCTCAGAAACTCCTGTGAGTGGAACACAGCCTATCACCCTTCTATGATTCTTCTTTCCTTTTAACTTGGATACATCTTTAGTAAGTATAGTAGCCCGCTAAGAGATTAGGGGGCTTGACCCACTTGTGCCTTCTCATCTTGGTGTTATTTCTAGTTAGTCCCTTACCAATTACAGATTTTCAAGCATTATACTTTCAAACCCGACGATCTTGTCTAAGTTTACACAGGATCTTGCGGGTTTCACCAAATTAGCATACAGGAAGTGTTATTTAATGATGCATACCGCATTCAAGATACCATCCTTAAGTGAAACAGTGGTTCTAACACACTTGCACAGTTGTTTAGTTTTTATTGGTAACTTTTTCCACATGCATTTCCTAATACGGTGATGTGTGAGAAGTATAAAAGTGTAGATTTTGTTTAGAGATGATGCTGAATCATCATCACCATCATCTAAGCCTTCCCAACTATATGGGGTCAGCTACATGAATCTCCACTATTCCTTATATTATGAATTACAAGCCATTTAATGACTGTTAAAAAGAATTAAATTTAAAATTATACCTCTTTAAATGTTTTGATGCATGGATAAAATCACAAATGTATACATTATAAATATAATATACATATTCGTGTATGTACAAATAAATACCCATACCCATACACATGAACAAGGCATCTCAAGGCGTGAGGAATGTTCCTTGTACTTGTAGGTATGAACCTTAAAGCTGGGCCTCAAGGTTGTTTGTTTTGAACCTTGCATTGAAACAAACCTCAAGGCTTAGTCCTTGTATGCTTTTTTAAACACTGGGGTCAGCATATAATAATAACTGAAAGGAGTTTGTATCCTCAAGAATGTCTAGATTCAAAGAAGAAAGCAAAGGCTGCTCATAAAATCTGTCTTTTACTCTTCTTATAATTCAAAACACAATTTTAATTCAGACTTTGTGAGAGCCCTTATTGGATTTCCAGTATAAAACACCATCAATAAACTCTTCAAAGCAACCAAGAAACTTCTTAAGACAGTAAGGTGTGTGCTCTATGCAAAGCAAGCAAATATACTACTAACATGCTCAAGAGCTTAAGAGGAAAATAATAAACTTTGAAGGGCAACCATCCAAGGTTCACATATAAGGATGGCTTACAGAAGATTTTAGAACTGTGATCAAATCCAGTTAAAGAAAATATGAAATATCTAACTATTTCCAAATTTCCAGAAAAGGAGATTGGCAATGTAAGGGGCTGATGTGGATCTAATAAAGCTTTACAAAAAATTCATTTGCATCTAGCCACTGCTGTGAGGCCTGCAACAGAATTGATCCTCTGTGATATGAGGCTACAATAGTATTCAATATTGTGGAGAAGAAAGCTTCTTATAACAATTATAGTGGTTGATATTTCTGCATTATTTACAGACTAAATGCTTTATTTCTCCTGGTTTTATTTAATTATTTATTTTTTCCTTTTTTGCTGGTTGGACTTCCTGGACATAGTTTATGAAGTTACCGGATAAGGACATTGTAGAGATGATTTTCTTCCCTGTTGTGAATGAGGCCTGTCGTGTCCTTGCTGAAGGAATTGCAGTCAAGGCATCAGACCTTGACATTGCTTCTGTTATGGGTATGGGATTCCCACCATACAGGTCTGTACTACGTTGCATGAAAGTTCAGTCTGAGTTGCTCCTTTCTCATCCTTAATGAACACTATAGCCTAATCAAATGGTATGCACATTTTAATCAGGGGAGGGATAATTTTCTGGGCTGATTCTCTTGGATCCAAATACATTTGCTCAAGATTGGAGGAATGGTCAAAGATGTATGGAGAATTCTTCAAGCCTTGTTCCTATTTGGCAGAGAGGGCTGCTAAAGGAACTCCGTTGGTAAGAAACCTCAACCTTTTTCTCATGGTTCTTGTTAGCTTGTAGATCTATCAAGGGAATCCCTTGGCATGGCAACATTTCTGGGCTACCATGTATTCATCTTTATGTGTCTGAGTCTTGAAGTAGTTGCATTTTGTTTGGCTATTTGATATGGTCTACAATGTGGAGCCACCCCATTACATAGGATGATGATATCTTGCCTTTTCATGCTTGGATGGTTTAAAGTACATCCACCTGGATTATGTGGTACCTAGAATATTTCCTGATGATCACCAATATGAAATTCCATGCCCCATGCTTTCATTTAATGAGCCAATAGAAATATTTATACAACTCAGAGAAACAAAGTTAATTGATTAAACGGCAGGAATGAACCAATTGGTCATTTTTTCCTGTGCTGAATGTAAGATGCACTTTGCTAATTGGAGGGTCTGTATCATTATACTCTTCTGCCAAGCTGATGTTTGAAGGGGTGAGGGTTTCTACCAGGGGGCGAGAATGCCTAGAAGCTGTGCTGGTGCCACCTGTCATACAATTTGACAAAAAAAAATCCATCTTTTCCACTTACGTTCAACCTATTAGAGTCACATAATGGGTGACCATGGCTTTTTGCCTGATTGCTGTAGGGTAATGCTAGTGAAATGATCTCACTTGTTTGAGGATATGGATCATGGTTTTGCTTTGCTTTATTATCATCTGATACACTATGTTTACAACCAATGCAGAGCGCTCCGGAAAATCGGGCCTTGTCTAGGCTATAATAATAACCAAGGCATGGTGTATCACCTGATACAGTGTTAACAAGCTTGCTGGCTTAAGAAAGGGGAGCTGGACAAAGTGCTAAATGGCTAATGAGGTGGAGTATCAAGATTGATAGGAATATAAGCATGGTATTATCTTCTCCAGTCAAGGGCTGCATTTCAAAGGCTATTATGTATATTGATTATCTGCCCCTATTTGTTTTTCCAATAATGTTGTTTATTACTTTGATATGGAGGATCAATATGTAGAGAAAGGATAACAGTAGAATTACAGTTGATATTAGTCCTAAATTACAACTTGTAATGGCTTGTGATGGTGCATGTAGTTCCAGACTGCTTTTCAAAATGCCGTTTCTTTCTTTTTATTTTTTTTGTTGTTTTAGCCTAACAACGAAATAGGGTACGGACGACTCCTATACATTGAGAAAACAGAATCTAATGCCTTCTCCCGATTCAGTAAATGGAATCTCAACCAGTAACCTTGTGCGTTCTTTAATTTCCCATAAAATGCATTTGATTTTATAGAAACATAATTCGATATTATCAAAGAAATATTTAAATACCCACCTATGGTTATAAAGGGGACAACAATTAATAACAGCTTTTGTTCATCATATTTATACTTAACAATGAACCTTGAATGCTGAACTGCAGAACAATCGTCTACAATTCTGGTTATATTAGGCCAGACATGATACGCCATGCCAGCTCCGTAGGCACGGATCTGCATTCAGGTTGAAGGCTATAAATAGGCTGAAGGCTTTGCTCCCTAGGTTCTGGGTGAAGTTAGAACTTAGAAATGCTTTGGTACCTTGGTAGTTGATACTTGATAGTCCAAGTCTCCCGTTTGTACTCCTAATGTTTACACCTTACATTTAGGGTCCCCTTGATTCGTGAGAATAGGGATCTGGAATTAGACTAAGAATGGGTCATTTTGATTTGATTCCAACTGAAATTCAATTCACATTTTTGGTGGGACGACATTCCCCAATTTGAAGGCATGGCCATTCCGATTTTGATTTCAAGGGGTTTTGATTTTGATTCTGCCTTCGAACCAAATAGATTCTTAGGGCCTGTTTGTTTCCCTTTAACTTTTATCTCTTGAGTGGAATCTTTTAATTTTAAGAAAAATGATGGTTTGTTTCATATTATCTCTTATCTCTTAAAGTGTAATCATACAATTTTTTGTTTTTCAATGATATCCTCAAAAAGACAAACAAAAACTCTCATATATGGAATCAAAATAGATATTTAATAATTTTCAGAATTCAGAATTAAGAACAATATTCTTTGCATTTGGAGTTCAGAGGAAAGAAAAGTTTACCAATACCAATATACCTCTTAATGTAATTATTGCACTTTGAGATGTCAGATTTCAGAGCAAACGAATAGGCCCTTAATTAGACTACCTGTTTATCTCTACACTATCACCACTTGAAGGGGGTAAGGTCTTAAAAACAGTTGACTGGACTTGAGTCAAAAGAAGCCAAGTATTTTGAAGCCAAGTACTTGAGCATGTTGCATATATGTATAGTTCATAGCTTCATATTTGGGATTTGGATATTGAATACTATTATTAAATTAATTAAAAACGATCAGAATATTATATAATCAATTAAAAATAACTTTATTATTGCATTATCATGAAGAAAATGGTATTAGACTAGATTTTGTGTCTAAACATACAACATTTCTATACATAGATTGGAATGTATAAGTTAGATTTGGGGTGGATGAGTGGATCTATATTCAATCCAATTATAAATGTATACTCATTGCAGCATGTTTTTCAAAACCGAACTAGACAGTTGGACTAGAAACTTGAGAACCGGTCACCTGACTGGTTCCGTTTCACCCCAAAACTGCTTTTTGACAAAAAAACCGTTGATTTGGTCAGCAAACTGTTGACTTGGGCAGTCAAACCGTCATTTGAACTGGACGGTCAAACCTTAATTTCAAAGTGAGTTTAAACCTTGGTTTGCAACCCTAATTTCAAAGTGAGATTAAACGAGTCAAATCCAATGGTTTTGGATAGGGAGTTGAATGCATCTATAATATATTCTTCTTATTTATAATCATTTTTTTGGGAAAATTCTTGATGAGTACTCTGTACTTTGGGCCTAGTGTCACTTTGGTCCCCGAACTTTAAAATGTGGCAGTTTAGTGCCCGAACTTTCAAAACATGTCAATCCAGTACCTTCCGTTAACCAACCCGTTAACTAGCCGCTAAGTGGCATTTGAAAAGACACAAATGCCCTTTGAGTGTCATCTAATTCTCTTTATCAATCATTCAAACATTGAGAAAAAATGAACAGTCCTAAATCCTTGCTTCTTCTATTCAATAATGTTGGGGTGACACCTAAAGGGTTGATAAGGAGAATTAGATGGTTGGATGGTTGATAAGGAGAATTAGATGACACTTAAAGGGTATTTGTGCCTTTTCAAATGCCACTTAATAGCTGGTTAGCGACAGGTATTGGATTGACATGTTTTGAAAGTTTGAGTACCGAATTGCTGCATTTTAAAGTTTAGGGACCAAAGTGACATTAGGCCCAAAGTACAGGTGCTAATCGGGAATTTCCCCTTTTTTCAAGAAAACTTGAAAATGATGACCTGGTATGGTAGGAGAAAAACTTGGAGGAGATAACCAAGAGATATTAGAGACTGGGAATTGAATTTTGCAAATTTGATTAGTCCTAGCATCACATTTGTAGGCAAGGTTCAAAATATCGATACGCCCGATATGCCGATAAGGGCGTATCGGGCTATATTGGTACTTTTTTTTTTACTTTTTATTTTTTTTTCAGAACCATTTTTTTTTCAAAACCGGTTTAGGGGGGCTAGTTTAAGGATCCTCCACTGGTCAGAACCCCGATACACCCTCTGTAGGGGCGTATCGGGGGAGCTCCCTAAACGATATGTATCGTCCGATACGTGTCGATGCTTTGAACCTTGCTTGCAGGCACATACCATGTTCTTGAACAAATTGGCCATTCTTATGCTAACCCAAGATTTTACTATTGCAACATGCTTTAAAAACATTTTGAGTTAATCGATACAAATTATTGTTTATATTTTCTACCTACAACTAGGGGTGCAAATGGATCGGATCATGATCTGATCGATCCGATCCTATTTGGTTTTGGACCGGATCAGATAATATGATCCAATTAGAAATTGGATCAGATTCAAATAACCCCTATCCGATTTGATATATTATATATTTATAAATATAAATATATATAATACATATATTATTATTTATTTATAAATTTGTTATATTATTTATTTTTTTTATAAAAACATATATATATATATATGATGAAAATAATTAAAAAATACTTGTATTTTTTGTTTTTACTTTATTTAAATTAGTATATTTTATTTTTCTTTTAATAATTTATTAATTTCTTAAAAAAATAAATCGGATGAAATCAAATCCAAAGATCCGACTTACGAATAAGATTCAAATTCAAATCGAGTACTAAGATTCGATCGAATTTTTCGGATTCGAATCTGATCTGATCCGTTTGCATTCCTGCCTGATGTTTCTCCCACATCATTTTTCTGATTGACATGTTTCTCCCACATCATATGTTTCTCCCATATGATGTGGCAACGCATATTTTCACAAATTTGCATTGATCAACTGTGAAACAACCCCTATGAAACCTGAGCTAACAACAAAATTATGGAAACCAGAAGTTGCGCATGTCAACACCAAAGCTCGAAGGACCCAAAATCTTAAACATTAAGGGGTCAACATGAACCACAAAAAGGTAAACGCAAGCTGATATTAGTGCAACAAAAGATCAATCTTAACAGAGTATGCAATGGAGCAGGGTGAAAAAACCGCCTGATACAGAACTACATCAGATCTATATCCACTTATAAAGTAGTTACCGTCAACAAAACTGACATGCATTGGTTCAAGGTCAACAGACAAAAGTATTCAGATGCCTTCATATTTGGGATCGGTCATTATATAATGGTAAGCAATTACCAGAACAAATACAAAAATGCCAATAAAATTGGCAAGGAATCCCAAATCTTCGTCATTAATCATCTGCACAAGAGCAAAACAACAGAACCCAATATAGCATTAGCAGCAATACAGAACTAGCCTCTTTATTTAAAAATCCATGATAGACGTAATAGAAATGACGCTGAAAAACATTATAAGAAAATGGGTTTCAAAAGTTTTAAAAGAAGAAGAAGAAGAAATAGTTAGTGAAAACCAGACTTCCATAGGAATTGTTAGTTCTTTAAAAGAAGAACGAAGGAAAATCAGTTTTGTTATTATTATTTTTTTATTTTTTTTGAAGATTCTGTAAATGCTGGCTTAGATCAAGGAGGTGGAAGGTTCAGAAACTGCTCTCATTGTCATTGGCAATGCCATGCTTCAAAATGAAATTGCTTTTGAAGTAAAAAGGTGAAAGAAAAACTGAAAAACAAGGAGTTCTAAACTAAAGGGATGGTTGATAACAGTTTAAATGGCTGAACCAAACACAAGGGGTTGCCTTGTGTTTTAGTGGATAAAATAATTAAATAATGAAATATTTGAGGTTATGGTACTTGACCCAACTTTAGTTTCAGGCATTATGGAGTTCACAACCTCCTTAATGAGGAACTATTCACTAAAAGACGAAGAAAAAAAGCCATTCAGTTCATCCACTTCAGCTGTTATCAAATGCTTCCTAAAAAAATTGAAATAGGAAGCATTTCATCCTTTTTAAACTTGAGGTGCAGTAAAGGCATTTTTCCAGTGGATAATTTGAAGAAATGATTTAGAACTGCTTTCAGAGATTGGGGCAAGGGTCATCTATAAAACATGGAGGGGCCAATGCAAAACCGGAAAACATGGGGAAAATAAGCAGAAGTATTGATGCATGGAGCCATAAATACTAATTAATCTCTCTCTCTCTTACACACACACACAAACTTTAACATTCTATCTGAGACCCACCCAAAAAGAAAAACCTAACAGTGGAGATTCATTAAACAAGATATTGCAACATTGGCCAGTCCTACACATATTCCAGTGAAAAACCTGAGGCTCTTAAGAGTTAAGAGGAAAGTAACCACTGCAAGGCATGGCTAGGAAAAGGGGAGTGGGATATGGGAGTCAGGAGCATCTGAACTTTTCCTGTGGTAGTGCACTTGGGAAAGGCATAGAGAAGGCCTACCATTCTTTTATAAAGGAAATAAAACATAAGGGAGGTGATGAAATGTAGGTAAAATTCTGGTCACACATTGATTGTTTAATGATAGATCGTTGATGGGGATTTCCCCATCATTTACCTTGCATCACTGTTATAGAAGCTAAACTATACATAGTCCCCCTTCAGCCAAAAGGCCCAATGAAGCTGAAACAGAAACTTGGATTTGATTCTCATCTGGAATTCTCTCTTCAAAATCTTTCTACAGGAGATCAAAGGCCTCAGTAACAGAAGAGAGAGGTGGAGGTGGAGAACCAACGCGACGTGAAAACAAATTCTACCTTCTTCAAAATTTACAATTCCAAAGCAAAACCCAGATCCGATACTAATAAACAAGTTATGAACCGATATTCGTTTCCACTGGAAAGAGACAGTGAGCATAAAAGATCCTACATAAGTCCATAGCATGCAGAGATTCGAATGAGTAGAAATCCTACTTGAAGAAACCGAAATTCATCAACTGCAATAGTTTCAACAAATTAATAAGTCGGACCAGCTTCTGTACAATGTTCAACAAAGCGCAGAACGTGGGAAAATTCCAAAAAGAAAAAAGAGAATAGGAAAACCGAAACCGTGACGAAATATTTATAGAGAAAGAGAAAAAAAAATCCATACCTTGAAAGAGAAAATAGAGGGAATTAATGAGAGCCAAAGGGGGAAAGGAGAAATGTGTAACAGGAGCGGAGAAATTAACAAGTAAAATGAGAACGAAAGACTTAGCAATATTGAGTAAGGACCCAATAACGTTTCGGTTTAAGCAATCCGAAATCCGCGCCTTGATCGCGGTGAGAAAGCTCCGTCTTCATGGTTGAAGCTGTTGCTGAGAATGGCTACAGTAGTTGGTCTTCAGTCTTGGGATTGACCATCTCCTACTGTGGAACTTTGGAAGTGGATGTTCTCTCTCTCTCATGGGGATCTACTGTTCTATCGGATATTCTTCGGTTGTCATCTACTATGCTCATTTGGGTATGCTAGCTTCCAATTTATTTTCCTTGACGCCAAAGTCCATGTTATATATGTGTTGTGTTAGGGGTGGTCATATTATAATGATTTTATTTTATTTTTTAAAATTATCTGGTTAAATCCTTCGCGTTTTACAAGGTGAATTGTTTTTTCATGTTGCCGGTTTTAAAAACAAATCAAAATCATTTGATTTGAAAACAGATTGTTTCTTAAAATAAAAACATACAAAAAAAAGAACATATTCTTGGTTGTATATGTATTTTTTGTTTTCAAATCTAAAATTAAAACATGTTCTTGAATTTGGTTTTAAAAACATATTTTCATCTTATTATTTAATACCGCATTTCATAAATTTCTATATTAGAAAATCTGTTTTCTTTTTTAAAACCCAACATTTTGTTGATTCCAAAAATATATATTGTTTTTTTTTTTTTTTATTTGAGAAGCCAATAGAAACCTGCAAGTATATACAGAAATTAATGAGGTAGCTGATTAATTATTAGGAAAAATTCCTTATTAGTACCCTGTATTTTGGCTGGAGTGACAATTTGATTTCCAAACTTTAAAATGCGACAATCCATTATCTAAACTTTCAAAATGTGACAATCCGGTACTCAAACTTACAAAATGTGACAATCCGATACCTGTCATTAACCAGCTCATTAATCAGCCGTTAAGTGACATTTAAAAAGTAAAAAATGCTCTAAGAATGCATCTAATTTTCTTTATCAACCATCCAAACATTGACAATAAAATGACCAGTCCCAAAGTCTAGATTTAAACAATCACCAACTTTTTTGAATAAAAGAGGCTAGGATTTGGAATTGTTTAGTATTTTTGTCAACGTTTGGATGGTTGATAAAGAGAAATAGATGGCATTCGAAGGGCATTTTTGAGTTTTCAAATGTCACTTAACGGCTGATTAATGGCAGGTACTGGATTGTCACATTTTGAAAGTTCAGGTACTGGATTGTCGCATTTTAAAGTTCGGGGACCAAATTGTCACTCGAGCCAAAGTACAAGGTACTAATCGGAAATTTTCCCTAATTATTATTATGCGGAAAACATATCCAATGCAGATTTCTGAATTCCACTATAAATCTATAAACATTCAAAATATCAAATACCCACACTCTATAAACCAATACCCACCCGCATGAATTAACATCAATTCCGAGCTGGCATCTACTCAACAGTACTTTAGGCCTAAAAATTCTGACCCAGGGCTGAACCGTCATTCTCCCTTAATTATATTGGTGTTCTTTTTTTTCCTTTTGTGGTGAATGCAAATTAATATGCTCAGAGGGTCGATCCGGAATCGAATCATTCTTCCACTATCTGCTGCATTTTTCCTTTTTTTTTGTCTATTATGGGTCAATAATGAAAAGTTGGACGTTGAAGCCATTTGACATTAAAAAAGTTCTGCATAGTGAGGTACTTGTTTGGGCTGACTTGAATAGGTACTAAGAAGCAGAGCTTCTGCTGCTTCTAAAAGATTAATGTTTCTTGATTTTGATCGAAAGTGCAGTGGATGAACGGTTCATAAGCCTGGTGATTTCTTTTTTCTTTTAATTTGGTTTTTCCGATCCAACAGATTTAATGGATTTACTTTTAAGGGTGGATTTAAGGCCCTGTTCGCTGTTGGAGAAGTTATTTATACGAGTAAATTTAGTTACTTAAAGCTACTACGTTTGGAAGCAATGCAAAATACAAGTTTGTAGAGTGCATAAATACACTCATTCCGATTCATGAATGCAATCTGTTTTGTACTCTTGCCGTTTGTTTCATTTGAGGAAAATGACTATACAAAATCCATTTATTTATACGACCAAAAATCTTTCTTCTGAGCAGATCTGATTTCACGTTTTTCATTTATGATAAAATCTTTTAACTCATTTGAGTCTCACCCTAGCTTGTTAGTACATTAGACACTTTGATAATCAAATAACATATAGAAGTGACGGGTATCAACCATCAAATGTTAAATTAGTTTCACCAGCATCTACCCATTAGTATACCTTGTTGGGGTTGTGTTTTTGGATCCAACAAATGAAATTATGCCAGGTGGTGTGAGTATAAGAGGTTTGGTGCATAGATCTAGATGATGTTATCATCCACAATGGTTATGTTTGTCTTTTGGTCTCTCTGGTCCATTATTTGGGATGAGCAAATGGGTAGGTTTTAGCTGTAATTAAATGGATTTTTACCTTAAATCAGCTTCATGTTTACAAATTATTGAGCAATTTAAATGAATTGATAATTTTTTTCAATTTAATATTTTTTTGGTCACGTTCAATCTACTAAAGAAAGTGTTCCATGGGTAGACCCTAGAACTGCCAAGATTAGAATTGACATTGAAATTGATCTTTGACAGAGTACAAGGTATTTAGATTACAGACTAGTTAGGAGTTCAGAATCTGCTTGTTGAAGGAGATTCCAAAGCTGTTGTGGATTGGTTAACAAATCCAGATTCAGTTATTTGGTGCTACAGGGACCTTTTGAGGAAAATTAATTGGTTTTCAAGAAGCATGATTTTTACTTCTCAGTGGATGGGTAGAACAGCTAATACCATATAGCAGATAGGTTAGCTAAGCAAGGGGCCTCAAGGGGACACTAATTCTGGGCAGTTCTGTAAATTTTCGTTTTCTCCTATGATGTAATACAATGTTGTTGTTTAGGAGTGGTACCAACTCGTGTCTCTCCTTGGGTAGTCTGTATTGTATTATCATATTGATCTTTCAAAAAAAAAAAAAAAAAGACAAGGTAGGTTTTGGTTCCAAAAACCTGGAACTAATAATCTCTACAGGGTAGATTCTAGGTTCTACCTTAAAACCAAACCAAATCGAACTAACTTATACTTACCACTATTGATTATTAATCAAAAATCAAAATAGGTTAATCGATTAAAACAATTGGGCCCTTTCAAGGTTTAAAATATCGCAACGTATCAGCCGATGCATACCATTCCGCTAAGAAACTGATACATGGAACATGTAAAAATCACGTGTTTTGTTTCTTTTTGAATGTATCGGCCGATACAGGCTATATCGAGCTGTTTCGGATCTATATCGGTCGATACAAACTCGAAACAGGCCGATACAAACTGAATCGTTTCGGTTCCCCTTTGTTCCATTAATTTCATTAATTTATATTTAATACCAAATATCTTTCATTAATGTCGTTTATTACTCCTATATTCAAGTCTAACTTCTTTATTAATTAGTTAATTACTCCTATATTTTAAGGCAAATTTAAATTTAAATTTGAATTTTAAATTTAAATTTCGCCACTAAACCACTCTGATTTGTTTGTTGTAGTTATATGCATTTTTAGTTTTAAGTTAATTTTCTATTTTCTTAGTGGTGCTTATTAATAATTGCTGAAATTAATTATTAAAATTTATATACTAATAAATATTAAGATAATTATATTGGTTATTTGAAATTTGATGTATATACATTCATGTTTTAGTTCTTTTTTGTTTTTTTTTTTCACATTTTAGTTATTCCATCATTTTCAACGGTTATTAATTATATGTCTATATGTCACATTTTATATAAACATTAAATTATGGTTTTTTACATTTAAATGACTTATTTACAATCATATAAAACTTGTAAGTATTGTTAATAATATATTTTTTATGATTTATTTGAATTTCCTAATATATTTATGTGTATGTTGATTTTTCATCTGTATTCATGCGTATCCAATACATATCCCAATATATCTCTTAAGTTGTCTTTCCGATACATCTTACGTTTCCGAAACTTTAAACCTTGGACCCTTTTCTTAGCCTATAAATCAATCGGGCCAGGTTGACCGAGTACCCTTGACATCATATAACAAAATTATTATTATCTCTAGTCTTAGCCCCACCAAAGTTCAAAATATCGACACGTATTGACCCGAATCAGTTGATATGTATCGTTTCGGTACCCTTCCGATATGCCCTTATAGTGGGTGTATTGGGGGTCTGACTGGTTCAGGGGGTGGAGGAGCCCTAAGCCGGCCCCCCTGAATCGGTTTCAAAAAAAAAATAAAAAAAAAAGTATCGATTTGCCCAATACGCCCCTCCCTACCAACGTATCGGGCGTATTGATATTTTGAACCTTGAGCCCCACCAATAACTGGCTTGACTAGGCTTTGCTAGGTTCAGGGTTGGCCAGTCCATTCCTCTATTCTTTTCATTTAAAAACCATTTCTGGGTTTAGGGTTGGCCGGTCGATTTGATTGACTGATTTCGACTTTATGGTTCAAATAAACTGGGCTAAAAATGGGCCTTTATTTATCATGTAACGGATGGGAGATCCAGGACAATTCATTTTGTCTTTGACGATCATGGGCTTGAAAGGATATGCGTTACCTCAGCTCATGTGGTCGGTCTGTTAGCTAGGCAGCTGATTAATTGTACAATTGTAGTGATATTTGTCCAGAAATCCGATTAATTGGGATTTTGGCGGACTCCGTTCAATTTCTTTGTAGTGAAAATGAAATTTGCAGCCATGTAAATGCATGGAAGTGTAAATAGGCTCAATGTAAATTCTGATTTATTTTTGTTTTGGATTTGACTTTGTCTTATTTGTGTGCGAGAAGCAAAATAATGTAATCCCTATTTTATGTAAAAGTGCATATAGGTAAAAAAGTGTAAATTTTGATTAAGGTAAGGATGGATAACATAGTTACAAACAAATAAGTGCAAATGTGAATCAAGTGTTGTGGGATTTTATGCAGGTAAAAACTCTGCACACACATTTTGCAAGCTTGGAGATCCAACCAAAGCATCTTCCATGAACTTAACATACATTACGAGAGATATAGGCTTGGAAGATGATGAGGGCGGATTTGGTCCTCCAATTATATTGTGACACATGGCACCTCGGAATAATTAGGTGACACTCGTAGGCAACAACTTGCCTTAGCCAAGTTGATGGTGTCCCACTTGGCAGCCTGGCTTAGGCGCCGACTTGGTGGCTTGGCCCAGGCGCGACCTTGCGGCCTGGCCTAGGCGCCAACCTGGTGGCCTGGCACAGGCGCCGACCTGGCGGCCTGGCACAGGCGCGAACT